GGCAGAGGGGTTGCCCTGCAGCACCCCTTCTCCAGCCCCATGGAGACAGACCCCATACTTCCCACCCACTGTGACCTTGTTGGCTCTGAAGTAGCTCCTGGTGCAGGATACAGCCATGCCAGGTCTCCATGTGCCCCGTGACAGCCCGGTGACAAGGACAGTGCCCTCCCGCACCCAGACATGCTCACTGCTGGGTCAGGGGCTGATACCCTGCTCCTCTGTTGACCCACGGCAATAAGATTCTGCACTAATTGAATTCTCTGACAGGAAAGTCTTTAGTAGTCGAACTCCTTCTTCCTCTTTCATTGTTTTCTCCAGCACTGACCTGTAAGGACCAGCTTACAGGGATGCGCCAGGCCTCTGGGAGAACCTCCAAGACATGACCGCCCTGCCACGCTAATGACTTTTTCTCCAAGTTACCAAAAGACCATCAGTGGACAAAAACTGGGTGTCTTGAGCCTCCTCACCAGGACTCCCCATGCCTGCCCTTCACTACGTAGCAGTGACATGGGGACTATGCCAGATCCACAAGAGCAGAAGCAAAGAAAGAGTCTCCGCCTGCAACACCAGCAAGCAGAGGCAGCTGCACTGGTGACACTGGGGTGCTTGGCCACAAGTGCAGTATGCTGGAGGCATATCCTTCAGATGCTGTGCACGGACTCCTGCGAACCAAAGCCAACGGCCCCTTCCCCGGGGCACCACGTGGGTGTGGAGATGGCGGGGATATTTTGAAATAGGCTTTAGAGGCTGCCTGTTTCCTCACCTTTCTTTTAGCTGCTTATTGATGGAGAAGTTGAATTCAAGTCCTCCCCAAGTGGCCTGGGACAAGTCACGCCCTCCCTGCTGAGCCCTCAGAGAAGCCGTCTCAAAATGTCCCCAGGGAGAGGGAGGATGAGCAGAGATTGGCCACACCACTGGGGTGGGTACAGGGGTTTCGGAGAGGATCCATCCCCTCGCCCCGTTCGGTGCCTGGCAGCAGAGCAATATTCAGCTTTCTGTGCCTGAGAGCACCTCAGAGGGGTCTCAGCTCCTCCAGCCCGATTTAATGGGGCTGGGGAGTCCCTTGGGTGGTCAAGTCCTATTTCGGGGCCAACTGAGAAGTCTTAGAGCAGAGACCCATCTCTGCACCTAAGCCCTGAACCACGGAGGTTTTTCCCAACCCACTCTGCTCCAAGACCCTAAATCGTTGCCCAAAATAGGAGCTGCAGCCTCCAATCACTTTGGTAATATTTTTCAGAGCTGGAAACAAATTCACCCACAGGAAGGGGAGGTTTCAGTCCAAACAGCTCCAATGGCTGCTGAAAACGGGGATTTCCAGGGCAGTGGCTGGGGGCCCAGGGAGCCTCCCTGGAGAGCAAAGGGGCTTGGGGCAGCGTGTGCAAGGCACAAGCACCTCCACGAGCTGGACAATGTCCCCCACCAGCGTACCCGGGAGTGGTGACATCGAGGCAGGCTGCCAGACTCAGAAAATAATGGTAAAAGTCAGTAAATACATCTATTTATAGACTTCCCAGGATGATGTCCAGAGGTCTGTGTCCAGGCGGGACTGCACGGACACCTCCACAGCCGAGCCACCCCCGTGTTGGGTGCAGGCTCAGGGTAACCAAACATCGCATCTCCTTGGTGGCTCTCCCCAGGCCCCTCCAGCTTCGCTGGTCCAGCACCGTCCCTCCCATCTCAGACCAGACACTCACAAGCACTGAAGGCAGCAGCCCCGCCTTGTAATATTTAAAACAATTTTATTCATGAAAATATGCTGTACAATGCACTATACACAGTTCTTTACATTGCCACATACACAAACTCTAATAGCACGATCAAGAAAGTTACCATTGCCTACGATAGATGCGTGGTGAGAGATGACGCCTGTCAGAGACCCTCCCCCCCAGTCTGTACAGTTATAAATACGAGGGAAAGGACGGACCGAAAACCGCCGTAGGAAGCAAACCGGTGGGGCCCCTTCGGCATCCCCTCGACGCCGGCTCCTCGCTCCGGGCAGGGCCGGGGCTGGGCAGGGGCAG